CAGTAAATGTGCAAAATATATAACTTTACATTATAATTATAGACTATATTATGAATTTTTTTTAATGTTTAGTGTTAATTTAGTAAAATGAAACACAGACCAATAAAATTTTCATTTGTTTAAAAAATCATAAAACCCTTGAGAATCTGGCAGCAACGATGTGAGAAGAAAACACAGTGAAATACAGAATAATACTGTAAAATTAAAAAACTATAAAAGTCGCGTGTGCCACAGTATGTAGCTGTTATCTAACAGTTAGGGATTTTTTCTACTAAGGCAACTGTTAGATTTTTTTTAAATGTAAAAAAAAAAAAAAATTTACATATAGAACATTGAAAAGACCATAAAGTGAGTGTTAATTTAAATATTATTTGTTTTCCCTTTAGAAATATTAACTTTGACAGGCATATATTGAATAATTCTGCAAATAACATAATTATACTGGTAATTAAAAGACGCCAACATTCAAATTGTGTAGTTTAAATGTATGTTTGTAGTCCAACAATTATATCTATTTTAATACCTACATGTTTGTACCTAACACGTTGCTTTGGGGTTTTGTGTCCTCCTCTCACTGCAATAGCTCCAAAAGAAAACCTACCACCTGTACAGCAGTGAGGACACATTTTGTACGTGTGTTTTTACAACAGAAGATCTTTTGCTGCGGGTCAGGCTCATGTTCTTTTCTTTATCTTTATTTCACCATCCAACCGGCTCGTACTTCCTGAACTGTTGCGTTTATTTCATCCTAATCAGATCTGGGCCATATAAGCTCTGATGTTATCATCATATCTGCTTTTTTGACAATAAATCTTGCTTTAGAGTTGCAGTTAATGGTCTGTGGAACTTTTTTTTTTTATCATTATTTTATTTTAAATGTTCAGGCATTATATTCCTGATGAGAAATATTAAAAGAATCGCAGGCAATCAGTGCTGAACTCCTCCGAGCAGCAGCTCTCACTCTGGGATGGCAGCAAGTAATTGAGCGGGTAACTAAATATTCAAAAACACTACGTAATCCCAGAGTACATTGCTCCACTGTCTGCATTACCTAATCCCATAAGCCATCGCGGGGGGCGGGGATATGGCTAGTTGTCAGAGCAACCTGCATGTCATTAGACAAACCCCGCCCACCAAATCATGTCCAGCCAATCGGAGGCCGTAGAAATGACATCATTGTTATTTTCAGTCGAGCTGCAGCTTAGAGGTGGATAAAGTTCGTCTCCACGTTGGAAGTGATAGAAAGTATAAGCCGTATTCAGGCACCGTTTCTAGTTTTTGGGAGGGAGGATAAATCAAAGAGGACGCTGGAGGTGTGAAAACACGGAGGCTCGGCGGCGGAAGAAGCAGATTTCTGTTGTGGATGACCGCACGGCGCACAAAAGAAAAGTTTTCTCAGGACACAAAGTTGTCAAGTGAGTTGAACTTCAACAATAGACAGACTCTAGCGCAGGACAGTTGGGAGACTGTCACGGGACACATGTAAACAGCCGACCAGGGGCTCTGTTTTTTATTAGAGGAGAAAGAAACCCTCCCTCGGGGCGATCAAAACTTTATGTCCAGAAAAATGGAAGCGACTTTCTACGACGAAGCCGTGAACGCCTCCAACTCTCAGCATGACGGGACGGCGGTGTACGGCTTCAACCCCAAGACCCTCAAACAAACAATGACTCTCAACCTGAACGACCCGAAAAACTTCAAACCCCAGCTGGGCGCCAAGGCCCTGGACATCCTGACGTCCCCCGATGTCGGGTTACTGAAGCTGGCCTCGCCGGAACTGGAGCGCTTGATCATCCAGTCCTGCAACGGGCTCACGACTCCCACCCCGACCCAGTTCGTCTGTCCCAAGAACATCACAGACGAGCAGGAGGGCTTCGCCGAGGGGTTTGTGAGGGCTCTGGCTGAGCTCCACTACCAGCAGCAGATACCCGCCGCGCACCCTGACGCACAGACCGGCGCGTCCGGGGGCGGTGGCGGTGGCGGCGGCAGCAGCAGCAGCAGCAGCATGGCACCCGGCTCCGCTGCGTCTGAGAGCGGCGGGATTCCCTACAGCTGCACGGTGCGCACGGAGCCGCCGGAGTACACAAACTTGAGCACTTTCAGCCGGGCCGCGGGCTCTGCACCTGCCAGCGAGAGGCACCCGAGTTACCCAGCCGCCCCGCAGCCGTCCCACAACCACATGGACCACCAGCTGGCGGCCGCGCAGCACTCGCGGCTACACGCGCTCAAGGAGGAGCCGCAGACGGTGCCGGAGATGACCGGGGACACCCCGCCGCTCTCCCCCATCGACATGGAGACCCAGGAGCGCATCAAAGCGGAGAGGAAGCGCATGAGGAACAGGGTGGCCGCGTCCAAATGCCGGAAAAGGAAGCTGGAGAGAATCTCCCGGCTGGAGGATCGGGTCAAAAACCTGAAGAGCCAAAACACGGAGTTGGTTTCCTCTGCCAACGTCCTCCGGGACGAGCTGGCTCTGCTCAAGCAAAAGGTCATGGACCACGTTAACAGCGGCTGCCAGCTCATTTTGACGCAGCAGCTCCAAGCTTACTAGACTGCCAAGGGGGGGATAAAAAGAGACATTGCTTGGGGACCAAATGCAGCTTCAAGTGGCCTGTTAAAGCCTTTCAGGGAAATCCCTGCGTCTCAGTGCATGTTTCTCACCAAATGATCCGCTCAGACTGAATCCACGCGGATGGTGACTGACGAAACGTTTGTAATTGGTCAGTATGGTGAATTATTTCAAAGCAGAAACTTATTGCACAGCTCAGAGGGAACCTAAATCTGCCTCTGATGTGGCTTGTTACATTTTTCTGGCTCTTTTTTTAAAATCGTTTATTTCCAGTCAGACCTAGAAAACCAGTCAAAGCAGAGAGTTATGGAAAGAGTCCATACCTTGTCTCTTGATTGTGGCCCATCCTGCATCCTGACAGACTGAGCGTCAGGTATTGTGGGATCAAACTGCAAATAGACACACACACACACAAAAACAATGTGAACCAGGCTTTGCCCTGCAAATCTCCCACTATGTCCAGTAGCAATGTATGCATATAGACTTGAGTCAAGCACTGAGCATCCCATGCACCGGCTACTATATGTACAGAGTAACACTAACAACAACAACAAAAAAAAGTTTCACACCTTTACGCAAGGACTCTTTATAGGTGTGTGTAGCGTTTACTGACAAAAAAAAGGAAACTGCCTTACTTTCTTAACACTTATGTTCATACAATTTTGTGATATAGGTGTAACTCATGATAGACCTGAAATAACACTTTGTAATAATATTTGTACGCAGTATTTTGAGCACTTATCTGTAAATATGACAAAAATAAAAAAAGATGTTGGACACGCGTCATGTGTGTTTGTGCCTAATTAATAATGCATCATCAGCGGCGGAAGGCTTTACAAAAAGAAGAAAGGAAAAAGAAGAGAGAGAGCTCGAGTGTGTTGTGAGAAGTGTTTGTTGTTGGAGGAACTGGGGCGGACGGGAGATTGAGTCACCAGCGCGCTGCGAGGTGCTCGTCATGGTTGGCGAGTCCTAGGCGGACGCTGATTGGACGGAGAGGCGTCGGAAGTGAGCCGCAGGCAGCCAAATATGGCAAAAGGTCCCGAGTGCGCACTGGGACGGGTGCGTGTACGTGTGCGCGCCTGTGAATCACCGTCCGTCCTCCCACTACAGCTGGTGACTCCTGCAAGAAAACCTACGAAGCAAAGGCAGATCTGGGAGGAACCGCAGTGAATAATTACAGTTTGTTAGGAAAAAAAAGATGCTCTCTCTTTTTTTTTGTAAATTTATTTTCTACTCTTTGTAATATAAATAAGAAACACTGTGTAGAAAAAACGTAGAAATGCATTTTACATTTAACCTGAATTCATGGGTAAGGGTTTAAACAAACAAAAAAAAAAGCCAAAAATAAATCAGCTGTACAGACACTGTGGACCACCAACACGGACATCAGAAACCAGTAAATGTTTTAGGAACAATTATGAGATCATTTTAACATATGTTTAGCAGGAAGGCAGCTGTCCGGCAGACTTTAAACATCCCACACGCCCCACTGTAAACCCACACAGGTGATTTCACTCACTGCTGATGGTGCTCCTGTCTGGACTGTACAGCGCTCAGAGTTTGACTGACATGCACCTGTTAAGGCAGAACAGTGACTTAAAGCGAGCAAAACTATGAACGCAGCATGTCATATTTTATGAATGTCTATCCATACAACTTGTCCCAACACATGGCAGCTCTACAACAGAACAGACGACATGAAACAACCAAGTACGGTTATATTAATAATGACCAGAAACCACAAGTCAGTAATGAGTCACACACGATAGGCAACATGTTGTCGAACGCTTCCATCCAGAGCATCACGTGGCAGATTTTCTGCTGTGATTTAAAGGCAGGAGACACCTGGACAGGTCACCAGTCTATCACAGGGCTACACTTAGAGACAACCAAGCACACTCACATTCACACCTACGGACAATTTAGAATCACCAATTAACCTCAGCATGTTTCTGGACTGTGGGAGGAAGTCGGAGAACCCGGAGAGTACCCACGCTGCACGGGGAGAACATGGAGACTCCACGCAGAAAGATCCCAGGTGTCCTCACCAGGACACAAACCGGCGACCCTCTAGCAGCGAGGCAACGGTGCTAACCACCTTCCACCTCGTAGCCCCTGATTTAAATGTTTGCACATGTATTTATGAGCTGGGTACGTAGAGGAGGGACGGGCATATCCAAAAGTTTCCAACAGTCTTAACTTGCAAAAATATATCAGCAAATGTTTCTGTGCTCAACCTTCATTAGGCAGTTAAATTTCATAAAGGTATACCCCCGAAACGTCACCAATCAACGTATAGTTGCAAGTTAGAGAGTCTGTTGTGTCATGTCATCTGAAACTATTTATTCAGTGACAAACGCCAGAGTTGTGGACATTCAAGTGTCTGGCTACGGCTCTAACTGACAACCCAGAACTCAGCATTCCAGGTTCTTGTCTTCTGGTGCATTTAAATAAAGCCGCATTTTACAGTCACTGGTCAACAGAGTGTCTGTGTGCTAGTCACACTATCTGATCGTCGTCCTTTAAATAAATGAATGGGAATTTGTCACCGTTTGAACAGCTCAATAACTGTTTGTGCTCAATTTAACCCCATCGCATGCTGCGTTTATATGTTTATTCAGTCACATAACTCTCCTCAACCTGACATGAGATCCAATCAGCTCTTCATTCAAAACACCTGCATGTGAAGTCGAAGCCTTATATGACTGTTTAAATATCTGTAATCTTTCATACAGTGCAGTATGTTGTGACCCAGTCATGTACCCACAGTTAGATAGAAGCTGTTCTGTACTCTTCATATCTGACAACACAAACAAGATAAACTGCAATCGTGTTTTAGTCGATGAAAGCTTCTCACATACTGTGTAACCTTGGTGGGAACCTTATTTTAGCTGCTGGTAAAATTAAACACAGACAATATATTTTTTTCCTACTAAATTATATTCTCAACATTAAACAAAAGGAACAGAATTTTTCAAAATAATGGTTTTCTGCCAACCAATATGGCCGGCAGCGCAGACACAGTAAAGCAGCTACAGTGACAGTTTGCCAGCTATTGGCCGGTCGCTGAAGTTCACTGCCCAATCTGTGATCGCTGCACAAGCATCATCTCTCTTCACTCATCCTCCGTCTTTCTGTGCAACACAGGTGCGATATTCCAGGTCTTACGAGGTCTTTCTTTTCCATTCGCGGACTGTTTTTGTGTTCTGGTTGTATGTGCGGTCCACATGCAGTCCTGCGTCAGTGGTTCTCAGCTGACCAGCATGCCCTCTTTAGCAGCCAGCCGCTGCCGGTGCACGTGGTCCTGCTCCAGCTCTTCGTGGCTGGGGTGCCAGAGCCGCGACAGGATGCGCTCCATGTTGAGGGCGTACATAGTGTGGGAGGGCATCACGCCGTGGTGGACCTACGACAGACAGATGTTGAAGAGGAGATTAAAACACTTAAAATTCTGATAACGAACTTTAATCAAAAACAAGGAGGAATCCAGAAATGAGTAGCAGCGATAGAGGTCGAAGGACAGCCCATCCGCATGAGCAAAGATGAAGTTTGAAAAATTCAGACATAACAAGCTTCTCACACATCATACATCGGTATTTCAAAGCAGAGTATTGTTACTAGAATTTTAAGTAGAAACAGCTTTAAGTACTTGATCATGACTTCAAGGCTGCAACTTACATTTGAGTTCAGCAGTTCAATTACGGATAATTCCACAAATATGTTCCTCAATCAATAGTTTGTCCAGAAAACCGTGAGAACTGCCTGTTAAAATTTCCTAAAGCAAACCAAAGTATTCAAATGGCTTCACTTTGTTCAACCAACGATTAATAAGACAACAGCAGCAACTGACCAATAGTTTCAGATTTATGATAGAATATACTAAGTTTCAGGAACATAAAAGCTTGGGATACAGCTTGTGTAAAATGCGAGCTAAAGATAAATGAAAGGGATTTTTAAAAGTGCAAAATGGCATCAAAATGCACAGGTGCTACATGAACACGTTGACCAAACTGACCAGTACAGCACGAAGCAGACAGGAGTTACCTACATGTTTGTGAACTGAATCTCACCTCCTAAGTTTGAAAATGATTTTGCCCACTTGCTTGGGAATATCAAAAATCTTTACTTTGGGTGGTGCAGAAGTTGTTAAAGATGCTCGGACCTGATACATATATCAGCACTTTTTCTTTTTTCTTCTTTTTTTTTACCTGTAAAGCCTCGAGGAGATCGAACATGCTGATTGGAGGAAGGGGAGCAGGAAGACTGTCGGCAGAACAAGCCAGCAGGTGCACAGCTTGTTGCTCAGCCTCATCGGGTGACACTTGCGGTGGTGGGCCGGCAGGGAGAGAAGCACTTGGAGGGGGACTGAATAAAAGACAGAAAAAAAAAAATATCAATGTAGACTGAAAAGAATACCTGTGTGGGGATGTACATGAAAACTAGGCCTCTAACCTGTACAAACCACTATTAGTCTTTACTGACATCATGAGAAACCAGTAAACTTTAAGGAGAACAAAGTTAAATAGGATGAGCTCAGTTAAACATTACTGCTCGTATCAGCTGGTTTGTCTTATATTGAACTTGCATAACGCTCATAAGACGATAAAAGCTGGAGCGTTGGCCCTACCATTCAGAAACACTGTGGTAAGCAGCGAGGCTGTTCTTCAGATAAGGCTGAGGCGTGACGTCGCTGCCGAACGCGTAGGGGAAATGACCGTCTCGTAGTCGGTACGCCTTCCTCCGCGTGATTACAGCAGTCAGGACGTCTTTCAAGTGGTGCTGAGGTAAATCAGAGCAGAGTCGAAGCACAGTCAAACTGAAATTTGCTTTCGTACATTCGCGGTTACTCCTGGTCGCACATTGACTCACCTTCTAGGCTTTAATCTGATTGAACACTGACTCATGTAAAGCTTAATAGTAAAATAATACAAACAGCTGAGAGAAGGTGATGCTGGGCAGTGGGAGGACCATCACAGAGATTCAATAATAGTAAAATATTCTATAAGAAGAAACCCTGGCCACTCCACGTCTTGGGTCCACCTGTTTATGGCCGTACAATGTAAGCACATTTTGTTGGATGGATTTTGGTGTGACTGAGCTATGAGGCTTTGCTCAGTCTCCTGAGACAACACAACTGCCATTCATTTATAGTTAGCAGTACAGAAAATATATTTCTCCATTCATTTAAGCCACTGCATGGATGTTTAAACACAGGATGTTAAAAGAGAGTTAAGTTGAAGATAAAAAAATACGTTCTCTCCACATTCTTCCATAGTTCAAAAATTTGTACTATAGGCCAATTGTGACATTTCTTTTTCACCTAAGGAAATATCATACTTTTAAAGTAATATTCTGTGATTTTCAGAAGCAAACATTCTGTGAAGACCCTCATTATATGTACTGTATGATAAAGTGTCGACAGTCACAATAAACTTGACTAGAACATATATAAACAGAAATCACTGCATCATTACCCACCTACATTTAGAAACTGACATGTATTTTCACATTAATGCACATTGCTCATGAGACGAGGACACCATCCCCTGTGGTCTCCTCCTGGACAGTTACTACACACCTCGACAGCGTAAATCATGGTGCTTATGGCATCGTCTGTGACGTTATCCAGCCCCAGCTCAAAGGCAGTCACCATCATGCGAGCCTCCAGCTGGCCCCTGGTGGGCAGCAGCATCGTGTGGGCGCTCAGACGCAGCTCCTCCTCCTCACCTCCCACCTCTCGTGGGCTGAAAGGTTGGGCTGCACTCAGAGGATTCTGAGGCTGGAAACGGTGCTGAAGGCACAAACATGACATCCAAAACATATAGTCAGTTAACTGTTTAAGCACCTAGAGATCAATTTGAACCTTGAAAATGTTCATGTACAGTCATAATCTAAATAATCATTGCTATTAACACACCCAGCTTCTGCAGTGATTAAAATCAAACAAGAACTTACATCAAATTTTTGTCTAGACGAACATTTCTTCTTCCCTTTCGGTTTGCCAGGCTTTGAAGCACAGCTACCTTGCCACTGCAGCGGCCCTGCGCCCTCTAGAGGCCAGAAAAGAACACGCGTTACAAGAGGTACTGACACACAAGTGAAGATGCTTTTTAAAATTTCCCTTTCGTAAAATATTCCGAATTTTCCACATCGATAACCTTTAACTGACCCCTGACAAATTAATCATCAACATTATGCCTAAACGCAGCAGGTGAGTACAGAATGAAGCGATGCACTTCAAATTCAATCCATTATAAAATACAGATTTAACACAAACACAGGCTCTAATGCAGTTTCACAAATACTTGGATATTTTAGAAGCCATACCTGGTGTGGAGACGATGATCTGGCATCGTGTCAGAATGGCCAGGAGGAAATCATTATGAACGTGGACTGGAGAGAAAGAAAGAGAGAAAGAGTGTGAGCCACACTCTTCACAGAAAGCATCACTACTGAGAACACTTATTATTAGATACTCACCGTTCTCCTGCGCCAACAGACGACGTGCCTCGATGTCAAACTCTTCCTTGCTGATTTTCTGTTTAAACCATAGCTTCAGGTTTGCCCAGTAGCTGCATGATGGCAACAAAGAGAAAACGTCAGTACAGGACAAACACAAAGTACACAGCTGAGGTGCAGTTGCGACATTCCTCTCACTGTATACACAAAGTTATGTCCAGGATGAGCACATGTTCCATTGTATCCCTTGTCCTGCATCCCACATTTCGAGGCTACGTTTTGATTGGCTGAGGTTTTGAAATGTCAACACTGCAGGACACAGATTCCTGGCTTTTGTCGAACGGCTGTAAAAACGCATGGAAAAGTTTCCCATCAAAACATATTTGGTTTTTTGACATACCACCCTGGACTTCCTCTCAATTTTACATGCCACATACCATTTTTTAATCACCTGTTGTATACTCAGCAGAACAAGCAACATGGCTTGAATCCCATGTCAAGTACTTCTCTGTTTTATTACACACAATTTAGTGACGTAAAGCACTTTTCTCTTTCATAGCAGCGAGATTATTATGTGTATGTATGTGTTATAGAGGTAGCTGCAAGGTAGCTCGGTGGTTAGCACCGTTGCCTCGCAGCAAGGTCGCCGGTTCGCATCCCAGTGAGGACACCCGGGATCTTTCTGCGTGGAGTCTCCATGTTCTCCCCGTGGGTTCTCCGGCTTCCTCCCACAGTCCAGAAACATGTTGAGGTTAATTGGTGATTCTAAATTGTCCATAGGTGTGAATGTGAGTGTGCTTGGTTGTCTGTCTCTAAGTGTAGCCCTGTGATAGACTGGTTACCTGTCCAGGTGAACCTGCCTTCACCCTGAGTCAGCTGGGATAGACTCCAGCCCCCCACGACCCTAGTGAGGATTAAGTGGTGTATAGATGATAATGGATGGATGGATGTGCTATAGAATGGGACCTCATCAATAATTTAGGTAACTACCAAAATAGGGTAACATTTAGCCGAGAAACAATGAAAACACATTTTATTGTACCATGGTTGGCTGTGGTTGGATAAATTATCATCACTAGTGGACAGAATTTTCTCTTTTGAAACTGTAAACAAACTACAGATCAAGTTTTTCCCCTTCCTAAATTCAACGCAGCATCTCTTCTCCTTGGCTATTTTAAATGGTAGTCTAGGAAATAAAAAATTTAACTGTACCTGTTTCAGTTTATGCACATCAGCTGCTTAGCTTGTCAACTACAAAACAAGAAACTAAAATATATCTGTATGTGATTCCTTGATTCTCATTTTGACATAGATTTCAACAACCATCTGTGCTACAACATCATAACAGAATCCCTGAAATCCAGTTACATTTACAGTGGAGGCCACTGACATATTATTGCTCATATGAGAAATGTCTGTATGCACCTCTGCTCCTCAATAATTTAGGCGAATACAATCAAATATTTAAATCAGAAGTAGAAAACAGCTGCTTTGCTCCTTTTTAGTTTCCCTTACTGTGGGCACCCTTCTAAACCTGGAAACCTACACCGTTAAAGCAGCCGATAAAGTTCAAGACGAGAGGATGTAGCATAATTCACGTTCGTTTTGGATCACCTCCAGAGCACATAATAAACCCCGAACAGCCGTTCAAGGCTCGTCATAGTGACGACTGCTGCCGAGGAGAAACGCTGCAAACATTAGCAAGTGCTAGCTAGATGCTAATCCGCACTCAGACAAGTTAACTAGTTATTCTGCGTTTTAGCGGAAAAGAATTGGGAGAAAACTCAACCCCGCAAACAGAAGCCGCACGCAGGCAAAGTTTTACTTACTGTTTCACGTTATCGCCTATTGCATCTGTTAAATTTTTCTTTGCAATCTCCAGCTCGCTAGCATGAGCCGCCATGGCGTTCATAAACCGCTACGAATGCGTCATCATCCTGCGACAGCGACTTTTTTTTTGCACCTTTCTCTGTAAACTTTATGGTCGTAAACCAGTTTTACAAACACGGTGACTGGACAATGAATACCTCCTAACAAGTAGTTACCATGTGTTTATTGATATTTAAAATTAATTAAATATTAGTAAATTAAGTACCCTACCAAAGGGATCAATAAAGTTATATCTAATCTTATCTGTCTAATCTTAAAATAAAAAGATAGAATAATGCATAACTGTAGGGGGCACCACCACGGAAAAGGCGAAATAAGTAAAATCAAAATTTGCCAGACAAATGAGTCCTTTGTGTTAATGAATAATTTAAATGATTCAGATTAGAGGTACAACACTTGACTACAAATGATTACCTGCCTAATGGATTTGAGCAATTTATTTAGAAAACTAAAAAATCTATATTCTCTGATTCCAGCTTCCAGCTTAAATGTGAATATTTTCTTTTTGTTTGTTTGTTTGTTGCTATACTTTATCTCTGGGTTGTGGACAAAACCAGACATTTGAGAACCTTATGTTAGGCTATGGAAAACACTGACCGACAAGCAATTAACCAAGAAAGAAAAGAGAAAAAAAAGGATTAATTAACAATGAAAATAACTGTTAGTTCCCGTCTTAATTCAAATAATTATACAATATGAATACCAAGGTTTGGTTTGGTAGTGAAACTACTCAACCACTAGATGGCATTATGGTATGACTAAAATTCTGCTAAAATCTGGTCTAATTGGTGCAGAAGAACTGAGTAAAATGAGGAATTAGACCTTTAATGTAAATGTTACATCCGTTGCTGAAGTATCAGCACACATCATAAAGTTTAATATGTGTTTATCCCACAAAAAGTCGTGCAGGAACAAGTTCTAGCTCAAGCCAGCGTACAATGGATCTTCCCTCTCCTGTCCACGGTCACCTATATACTTCCTCAGAGGGAAATGCCCACAAGGATGGTCAATGTGTAGTTTTGTAGGGTCTCAACTTAAATTTTTAGAATAGTCAGATAATTTGTTAGAGTGTATAATATTTTAATGTCATCATAATAGGTTAATTAGTCTGGTAAATTTGCATAAATTTGCATTTTTAAAGGGTCTAACATTAATATGAAATTAGTCAGGTATATTCACATAATAAATAATGATGTAGGGTCTTAATCACAATATTAAAATTTAACTGGTAAATTCTTGTCTTGTTTTTCTACTGGAAAGCACTTTGGCTCAGCGTTTGTTGTTTTAAATATGCTGTGTAAACAAAGATAACCTGACTCGACTTTTTTACGAGGCAGCATCAGCTGTTTTGTGGCTCATTATTTCTGAGATTAAGCAACCCGTATTCCAAAAAACATAGCTGATATGACTCTGGCGCCTGAGCTGATGTGCATAAAGCATGGCTGTAGGCTTGATGTGCAAGACCAGTCAATGCCAAGAATGTGACTAAAGCCTTTAAAAAAAACAGATCTGGTGGACAGCAGGCAGTGTTGCAACCATTTGCAACGAAGTTAGGGTAAATTTAATTTGTCTCTTTTCCAGGCACTAGGATCTTCCAGCATTTTACTGCTCATTAAAGTTAATATAAGGGGGATTTTTTCCCTCCTTGGTCCTCTGACTCCAGAAGTACCTATTTTAATGATCGAAGTAACTTCCTTCCAATATGAAACACAGCCATCTGCCAAAATGTGAGTGGTTTTATTAAAATTGGAGAAGTCTGTTGTTGAAAATGTTTGTTTCAATCATACTTCAACAAATGAATTGAAGAATTTCTGCCTTGTTAAAATTTCTACACTGGAAAGTAAGAGTTAAACTATGAACCCCTACCTCTACATGTAGAGAGCAGACACTGTTTATCTTATCCTATTATCAAAATACAGCCTTGGAGTTAAATCGAGAACCCCACTTTTCCCCCAGACTGGATGTAAAGCATTTCTGTGGCTCCTTCTGTTGTCCTCTGTGGCGCTTTGGCTCGTACCTCTCCAGAGCAGGTTTAGGCCGGGGGGCCCTTTTGTTTTTCCCTCTTCTGACTGTGGTGTAAAAACAGTTGAGCAGTCAGGGTGATCACTCCTTTGGCTCTGTCTCCCCAGGCGGTCATGAAGTCTTAAACAGAGCCTCATGACTCACGTCATTCATCACAATAAGTGGAATCATATATCCAGAACACATACAGTTAACAGCCATACTGTAGGCTATTAGTGGGCCCTCGGTTCAGTGAGTAATGCTGACTCCACAGTGTTCTGAGGTCATACTTCTTCACAGAAGAGACCCATTTGATCATGTAAAAGGTTTCAAGGCTTGAGTCTAGAATAAACAAGCATGTCATAGCAACCGCATGAACAATGAAAACCATCTGAATTTTTTCGCCACTAATAGGCGTATTTAACAGGCTAAATGTCGGTTAATAAGCAGCTGAAACTCAAGGAGCACACTTCTCGTGGCTCACATGTCCCGTTGTTTGTTATCTCTGGGTTGTGTTCAGTGCTTCGATTGACTTATTTCTGTCAAAAAACCTCAATAAAATAAATTTAATTTTCACCATCTCAGTCGGTGCTTGTGTGCTTCACGACAAAATAAAGTATCATTCCATTGGATGTTCTATACCGGTAAAGCAGAGTGGAAACTGCAGCTGTCTGCAGCAACGTGAGCCCGCCCAGCTCCTTCTAAATGACCATCCATCTCAAACAAGTGTCTGTTAAGCTTTAAATCTAAAGGGAACTTGGGAGCAGACTTAGCTGTGGAGCCGTTTAACCGTCCCAGTTAGGGCAGAAATTAGTCATGGTGCTTATTTTCAAAGAAAACAGCTCCACATCCTGTCTGTTGATTTTCTGGTTGACACTGAGCTTTTGATTACTAACGAGTCACTCTCACGGACATTCCCCCAACAGCAGATGTCTTTTGGCAAACAGCAGCGAACTGCCCAGACATCTTCCGAGCCTGGTGGGGAAATTCGTAGACAGTGAAGCTTCACTCAGTGACAAGGAAGGCTTTCACCTCTCGAGCTTGCAGTGGTCGTCAAAGGACCACACTGCAGCAGCGCTCGGCCGTCCCCGGTCTGCTGGCCAGGTATTTGAGGTGGAACAGGCCTGAGTGTGGTCCCCTCACCGGAGCCAAGGATGTCACCTTCACTGTTCCAGCGTCTGACTGTGCAGGAGTTGGGTTTTTGTGGGCTCATCGCTCATTTCCATATCCCCGAGAGGTTGCATAAAATGTAAGGGTTCAGTGTGTGGTGGGTGAAGTTATTGGAAGGCTTCAGTTACCGCTCCTGTGGTGATGGAGCAACCCACACTGGCTGTCTGTGGGGTGGTGAGATTTAGAGGCAGCCTCGTGACAAAAAGGTGGCCTGTTGTAATGGTGCTGATCCTTGTTCTAGCTGGGAAAATGTGTATTGAAATGAAACCGATGCTCTCATGACATTTAACGGTTGTCAAGGTGTCTGTGAACAAGGCACGTAATCCTGAATTATTCCAGTAGAACCGCTCAGTGGCCAGCGGCAGATGACAGCCTGAAAGCACAAAAAAGTATAGGAGTTAAAGAAACATGTGTTCAGATGGTTAATGGTTCAATGTAGCACTTGGAAGAGCGTCTGGGCCTTCACTGTGTCGAAGTGTTTGTGTGGACAGATCACTGAATTTATATATAGATGGACGAACCCGCTGTGATGTCAGCTGTAGGTTTCCTGAAGAGCAGGTTTGAAGCTCAGTGTGGAAGCTCCAGCTGACACCATCTTGGCAGTGCCGGACGCCTTCTAACTCCTGGCGAATTCAAAAATCTGTCAAGAGGTGGAGCGTAACTGACTACAGCTAAGCGGCCACAGCCTTAATTATGGATAGCTTTACGCCTTAAAGCAATTTAACTGGGTGAGTTATTTAAATATTCACGCGCTGTACAGTTGTCAACAATGGAGAAATTAGCCAAAGAGACCAAATAAACTTTATGTAAGATGGCGTAAACGTCATTGTTTCTGCTGTAAACTGGGATAGTTTCACATGGGGACTATAGGGTTTGACTTGCTTTTAGAGCAACCCTCAAGTGGTCATTCAAGGAACTGCAAGGAACTTTGTGTGTCGGATCTACTTGCACTTAGATTGCACAAAAAAAACCAGAGGAATTTCATTTTGAAAATCCGTTCAAAACTGACGTATACCCACGACAATACGGACGCATGCAGAGAAGGCACAAATTGGTGCATCAAAATTAATGAATGTGCAAAAAATGTAATGTTTGACACTAAGAATTTTCTGAATGAGGAGCCCCAGAGCCCCTAATGCCCATGCTCCTATGTTACCTACTACATATAGACCAAGAACCAGCTAGCTCATGCTCGCACAAAGACTGAAAACAGAAGAAAACAACTGGCTTGGCTCTGTCCAAAACTTGGGGTCTTTTATTTTTAAAACTAGCACAGCAACTAAATTAAAAATAACAGCGGCCATTTTGACATAAAATAGTAGTAAACATAGGCTTTAGTAATCACATTAACAGTAACAATTGTGTTGGGCATTTCATGTCAAAATGGCTGCCGTGCAAAATGTCTATTAGTGACCTTTGCACAGATCTAGCTGAGTCTGCTTCCAGTTGTTATGCTAATGCTAATGCTAAAGTACGCTAACCCGCCTGCTGGTAAAGACATGAGAGTCGGCTCAATCATCTGACCGTATTGTCCTCAAGAAAAAAAAATCCTCAAACTGTTCCTTTAAGTATAAGTTTAGCCCACATACAGCCCTAGTATATGCAGTTTTTATGCTAGGCTAAGCTAATGTAGCTTGCCATACATACTTGTCTCGATCGTCTAATCTAACTAAACTAAATCTCTTTATCTAATATCAACATGCATGTCGACACACAAACTCCTTTAATGAAAGTTTACTTTTAGGAAACACAAGTTTGATGGTTAAGCATTAGCTGTGCTTTGTTGGACTGTGACCCAATCGAATAGAAACTAAAGACGAGTGCAGTCCAGGTTACAAGGTTTGAGTTGATGACTTGCTCT